CAGTCCACAAGCCAGACAACATCAGAAATCGCACAGGTAAGTCCATGTCAGCATCAATCAACACATCAACGAGGTAAGTCCAAATCAGGGTCAATCAGAGGTCTGGCTCATATCAGCACTCAACAAGACATATCATCCCATGGTTCTTCTGGTTCCTCGTCAGCCTATCTTCAACAACCGCAGCGTTGCTCTCTTACGTATGCCACGTAGGCAAGGCTATCGCAGGTATGCCACGTGGACAGTGTTCTCGCCAGTATGCCACGTAGTATGCCACGTAGGCAATGCTCTCGTCAATATGCTACGTAGGCAATGCTATCGCCAATATGCCGCGTAGGCAATGCTCTCGTCAATATGCCACGTAGGCAATGTTGTCGCCAACATGCCCTATCAGCGCTTAGTTATCTTCTTCAGCGATCTCCAATCAATGCAGCTTCTACTGGCGATTTATTCCCTCGTGGGAACCAACCAGTGAGTGCCACGTCAGCGCAGGCCTATGGAGAGATCCACTCTGCCTTTGCCACGTCAGCACCCCTTTCAGAGAGAGACTAGTTTGGCGATTTATTCCCTTGGGGGCACCCACGTGGATACAAGGATAAGGTTAAAACCACTCTGCAAGTGTCACGTCAGCACTCTATCAGAGAGAGATCTTCAACTTCTATCGCGCAGTCGTCTTCAATCGAGCAGCAATTCGGCGAGATGAGGTAAGTTTGCTCTGATACCCAAATTTAATGAACCCAGTCTCGTCATCCATTCATGTCGCAAATAACAATGTCGTGCAATGCCATGAGCTAATCAATCCAATAATTCCATCAGTTCAAAGTCATTGAAGTACAGGTTTCCTCATTACCACGTGTATATCTTAAGTCCACAGTATCCAGAAAAGAGAGGAAGGAAGAACAAACAGTTGAAAGGAGAAATATAAGTCCCTCTTCTCCTTCATGATCCCCACCTCTGCCACATCAGCAACATGCACTCAATGTGTCATGCCAGTAGTATGCACTCAGTGTGCCATGCCAGCAATATGCACTCAATGTGCCACATCAGCACTCCGTGTAACACGTGGACGATGTGGAAGCAGTTTCTCACAGGTAAACAATCCTCCAACAACGAGCAGAATCGGCAGCGACTTCAAATCTGCAGAAACCAGGTACGTACGCACGACAACTCACATCACCCACTCTCTCTCTCTCCTCTCCTCATTCCCTCGCCGTCGTCTATGGTTGCGGTATTAGTCGCCCTCTCCCTATCTCATTACTATGATATTTGGTGCCCATCCAGCAGTCTGGCGCCAGCATCTCCTCTCCAGTCTCACGCGCGGTGTCGTTGAGGGTCAGCATCAGTCCATGTGAGGGCCCGGATCATCCGATCAGTCTCAGTTTCGGTCTGGACTCCTCTAGGCCTGAATCTTCCGGAACCTGCAGACAACTGTTAGATCATTCCAGATCAACGGCCAGGAAATCTTTGTTGTTGATCTGGGTTCTGGGTCCACGAGTTGACTGTTGACTTTTCCGTCAATTGTCGGCCTGGGCCCTTTTCAAGGCCTCTTTGAGCCCTCTTTTCAAGGCCTGCCCGTTTGTACCTGTCTGTGGGCGCGTCGGGAGCCCAGCGGCTCAATTTGGAACACGGGCCAAGAATTTCATTATAATGATGACAAAAATATGTCCCTCGAGACCTCCGTACGTATTTAGTTATTAAGTTATTAACAGGGTCACCAGCCTGTACGTACGGAGGTCCCCGGGCAGACCTCCGTACGTACGAGCGTTCGGGGTCCCGTACGCGGTCCGAACCCGACGGCGTTTGGCCCCCGCCAAAAATTATTTCGGGGCCTAAAAATAAAAAAAAAATTCTGAATTGTTTTTTGTGAGTTCTCTATGACGTGAGGTACATGTCTGTAAATTTTCAAGGCATTTGGCTGAGCCAAATAAGAATTAAAAATCACCAAAGATGGCGGTGTCAAAGCGTGCTCGCCCATGTATTTTTTCACTTTTTACTTTTTGTTTTCACTTTAGTTCGGGGTCTAAACAATTTTATTATTTTTTGAAACGTTTTTAGTGGGTTTTGTATTATGTGAAGTACACATCTGTAAATTTTCAGGGCATTTAGCTATGCCAAAAAAAAATGAAAAATCACCAAAGATGGCGGTGTCGAAAACATGCTGGCGCACTCACTAAATTTAATTCTCTTTTCATTTTTATTTATTTTTATTATTAGTATTTGTTTTCCGTATTTTATTTTTATTTCAAATTTGGTAAGGAATTCGGAAATAATGCTCAGGTAAATCTTGTTTTATTTATTTCTCTCCATAACATATCTTTTTTTCAGATTTTTTTGATGACTTTGTTTTTTTTTTTTTTTTTTTTTTTTTTTTTTTTTGGGTCCGCGTTCGGCCC